GACTCGGCACCTCAAGGTCACGTGGTTAGGAGCCCCGTTGCTAGGCATTTAGCTTGGTCACGTGATTTTCAGTTTGCCCCACCCTGATGCTGGCTGCCCAGCCATCGACCGGCATAGGGTGGAGCTGGGTGTGCACGTCTTGTTTGTGGACTCGGCACCTCAAGGTCACGTGGTTAGGAGCCCCGTTGCTAGGCATTTAGCTTGGTCACGTGATTTTCAGTTTGCCCCACCCTGATGCTGGCTGCCCAGCCATCGACCGGCATAGGGTGGAGCTGGGTGTGCACGTCTTGTTTGTGGACTCGGCACCTCAAGGTCACGTGGTTAGGAGCCCCGTTGCTAGGCATTTAGCTTGGTCACGTGATTTTCAGTTTGCCCCACCCTGATGCTGGCTGCCCAGCCATCGACCGGCATAAAGAATGATTCAATCATCTATTCAGATATATAGTCACTCTATCGTGGATAATATCGCTGATGGATTGATCGTTAAATTTGCTAGTTTGCATATAGAATGTTGTCTTTCATTCATTCTTATATAAATAATATCTGCCGTATAGTTACATGCGTTTGAAATGAATTCTCTTGTCTTTCTATCCTGATGATTATAACATGTTCTATGGATTGATATTTACTTCCAAAATCCAGTTTGATTGATTATTGATTTTTACAAAACTGGGAAATCGAAAATCAACTAGGATGTAGTCGCTTGCTTAGTTTTTACAAAACTATCAAAATAGGATATCATGAACGATTTCGTTCATCGATATATATATACATATCCGACGCTTTATTCAGTGTTGAGTGCTGTTAGAGGTGTGGGGGCTGTTATCACTTTCCGGTCGCCCATATCGCGAGGGGTTCTTCTGGAGGTATCTGAAAAGTAAACTGGATGAGAGGTGGTCTTAGTGACTAGAGAGTGTGACCACTGTGCCCTAGGACAACTGCTTGAGATCGGTACTTGTTGCGGCATTAACGCCGGAGACGGATATCCGTCGGATAAGGCGAAGTGTGCACTTTTGATGTCGACTCGATCCGACGCGCATTAACACTGCTGCACATATCCAACGCCTTAGACCACTCGACCACAAGAAAAATGATAGGAAATGCACATTTTTTTTACTTCAACCTCCATTTATCCCACTCATATCCATCTTAATCCTACATCTATTTACACTGTTATTTTTTCCACTGACCCTGCTCACGCTCATTTATCTCCGTCGTCTCTTGTTAAAGGATTAGAGGTCACCGAATGTTATCGGCGATTACTTGATGCTACACTGGAAACTGCATGATGTAGCTTTTGACGCCCGAATACTGAAGCAAATTCCACAACAGGTTTCCTTAGCTAGGGCCTTAGAATATTGCGCCGTCTTTGTATACTTCGTCACCGAAACGCGAATAGAGGATCTGAGTAATTTCCGTTATTTGACCTCACCGTATCAAGATAAGGAAGCATCTGGATTCATGCTTTGAGTTTTTAGTAGCTGTTGTACTGCTCCACACTGTCTCGCTGTTGTAGGTATAGCATTAAGTCAGTTCTTGGGCAGAACTAGCTCTCTTAGACTGGATCTCAGCAGCATCTACCACATTGATATATGCTCGAAAACTCATCCCACCTGGCTCTGAACATGACAAAGAGCGGAGTCAGCTTAAGCGCAGGCTGGCAATAAACCTACGCAATGATCGCGAACAGTATCCGTAAAAATATTTTGTACATATACAAGTTCTATTCCCAATCCAATTCATGATTCAAGTTACACTAAATATTCTCTTCGCATAACATATTTTTACATGGGCTTCTGATTATTAATGCAAAAGATGCATATTTCATCCTAGCTTGAAACCCCGCAAGACTGTGCAATGCATTCGCTTTTCATGATGTAAATCAGGACAGTTTTGCAAGGAAATTATGACTGTTAAGCAACTGTTTCACAATGTCTCGCACCTGAGTATACAAATCAGTAATCCAGAGATTACAACAACAGCCAGTAAGCAGCCAAACGAACGTACAAGACGAAATAAGTGGTTGAAGCGAAAGCTACATAGTTAGGATATAAATGAGGCGAAAGTGAAACAACCAATGACAAGGCAGACTACACATAGTAAGAAGTAAAGTGTTATAATAATAACGATGACTCATCGTCGTAGTCAAATGCAACAAAGAACTTGACGCAAGTGTGTCAGTCCAAGTCGTCATACCACATTAGCCCAGCGAGATAAAATTATCAAAACACATCCCATTATCATGAAAGTAGTAACAGTATCAGTAGTAATGTGGTGTGTACTACAGATGTCGACAGATGTATGTAGTATGTATCAACAATCGAAAGTGAAATACCTGGAGGCAGAAAGTTGAGACTAAAGAAAAGAAAACGAGAACAAACAATGATTGGTATGGAAACGAAAGAACAATGAAGTCTGAGACAATAGATTGATATTTGCAAAAGGAACAGTCATTAATTGACATTATTTAAATTATATATTTACACTATGGTTCTAAGTTGTTCTGTAATTTTGTGTTCAGATACATTCGATTATCCTCAATTGTGTTCTCATTCATTACAATATATATCAGTTAAAGGTGAAAGATTGAATGACAATGAGGTAGAAGATAAAACTTGTAAATACACCTTATGCACACACAAAATTAGGTTGAATAGGTAAAGAAGATTAAACAAATAATGGAATTGAGATTTAGAGAAAGTAACTCACTGATTGATTCTGAGTCATATCTCTTAAAAATCATTTATCCCTCACATATCATACTACTGTATGAGTACATATATCGACTTAGCTTAGAATAGTTAATAAAGAGAGATCTAATTTATTTTTAAGAGGATTATGTACATATATATATATATATATAAAGCAAGAATAAACAATTGAACAGGATATACATGAACTCATTTTATTTCATTTGATTCTCATCAACTACTTACAACTTGTAATACAAATATATATATAATCGAATAGTAAAAAAAACATTCACATAATAAACAAATAGAAAAATAAGACTAGTTTATTTTATTTTCGTCTGTTCATCGTAACACAAAATAATTCTGTTTGACGTTTTTGTATTCAGTTAGTGAACGCTGTTGACTAACTACGAATTGGATAACAACAGATGGAGATCTAAGAAGAACTGACTTTTTAGCATCTAATACAGCATGAATCAATTTGCGATAGTATTGGTGATCCAGATTCTGGTCCTATAGAACCAGCTCAACTTGAACATGATAAACGACCAGAATTTGTTGAAGACTATAAAAACATCAAATAAAATTATTTAAATCGTTTTCTATAATCACATCTTTTATCTCATTACAATAATCATATGTGATATTTGATGAGCCGGAAAACATAATAAACTGAAAAAACGAAAAAAGAAGTGATTTCTAGTTTATAATGACACTCCATACGTAACAAGTAACTTTCCTACCAAACTGAGATAATATTACAACTTCCATTGTAAAAGTTGTCATTTCTGTCAGGTTGAATACCTACCTGTAGTGTTTGAACATCATCCACGCTAATAACGTTGAAAAACTACTCAGTAAGCTAAGTCTCTGTCTCACCTTCTTTACACCTTAAATTCTGGTCTAGCAGGGATTTCGTGCACCATTATAAGGATATAAGTAACATAAAGTTCAACCAACCCAGTAGATGAAGTTCGGAAACCCTATTAGAATTGTATGCTTAACTTTGAAACTACTTCACTGGTTCCAACATGCGCGGGTAGTGATTTCACGATCATTTCGACCAGATTCTTGTAATGCAAACAAAGTTTACTATCCAAGAAAACACCCTACACTAGTAATGCAGTACAGATCGAAACACTGAACAGCACACCTGTTTTTTGTTTTTAACAAGCACTTGTGGGGAAGATGAATCAACTTGATGAAAATGAAATCGATAACAACAAGATTTCACCAACTATGAAATAACCAAGGTTGCACAGACTTCTAACACAAGTGACGACAACTACACACACACACTCAACTTTACTGGCAACTGTCGACCTAACCATTGAGATAAACAAGTTGCAAGGCAGTAGTATTCTGAGTTTAGATGTATAAGATATCGCCCAGATATTTTCGGATTACCATGTAGACCGTACGGAAGAATTAAGTTTCTGTTCAACATGACTATATTATATTATCTGCATGGTATCGGTTTTCGAGTAGTGTACCCACAACAAACATCAATGAAGTTGGCAACGCTACAGAATTTCTAAAACATTGTGAAACAGTTGTCAAAATAATAATATGGACTATACTATTGTGTCATTAAAAAGACTATGAATGTGGTAAATAAACATTTCCGTTGAATCTGAATACAGTACATTTTTAATATAAAATGAATATTTAATTATTAATGAAAAAGTATTACGATAGTTGTGGTTATAGTTTTGATGAATCATTCCGGTTAAAAATTAGGGGAAATACTGAAAGAATTTATGTTGTTTAATAGAAGAAGATTGGTGAAGATTACAGATTGTTTCTAATCATAATATAATATTTAGTAAACCAGATAGCACTACATCAATCATGATAAAAACTTGATTTGCAGAGAAGTTGAAAAGATGTAAGAGTAAGGTGTATTTCTGAAGAGTATTGATATGATAGGGAAGGTCTTATATACGTTGTAGAGTTAAACACCTTCAAAATAGATTTACTCTACTCGCCTATAGTATTGAATTATACTTATTTTTCTGGCAATACTTTGTACATCAACGTGTTATTTTATTTTTTTTTAAAATATCTCTTCTAGTGGGCAGTTGTCTTGGTTTTTGATATCAGCTTATTGAAGAGCTACATCAATATTTCGGTCACAGGAGTATCTATCACCTGGGTACATTTCATTTACTATTCAGGATTTTACCCGTGCACCACTCATAATGAATTACTGAAACACAATTAGTAAAAGTCACCGTGAACACAATCACCATTGATGTTTAGGACTGTAATTGATCAGTGTTTTATTGGCATATGTGCATTTTGGGTGGATTGCCCCGATATTGGCTTAATTCAGTTGAACTATTCAATGAAACAGTACAAAATGTAATATATGTATGATTACAGTGAGTAGTTTCTTAGCATAAAAAATATTCAGTATTAGTGTAAATTTCATATTAACATACATGTCATTTGTAGCTATAAAAACATGCATTAAAATATATTCCAACATTATTTATTAATCATTCATCTTCGGTAGTGTAAACGGTGGATCATTTCCACATTGAACAATATATTTTCTATATGATTTTTAACATTTCTTAACCCTAGTTTATCGAGTGAATAGACGAAGTGAAAAACATGACAACAGCTATGATGCTTCTTCATGTATTCTTTGATATTTATGATTTTGATAGATTGTACACTTTTCACAAAATGATAAAACGTGATTGTCAATCTTTAATCTATATATATGGTTGATAGTTTTTTGTCATTTATTTCCTTGATTAGTATAATTATTATGATCATCATTTGATGATGGATTCATTTGTTGTTGACGTCACTTTTTGTTTTTAAACTGTGTTTATTACCTTTATTAAAAGTAGTAAAATTGATATATAAATTTGTAATGATAAATAAAATGAATAATATGCTGCTATATATTAAAAGTAACTCCGCTTTTAGCTCTTCTAGAGTTACTGCCGGTCCCAAGCCCGGGTAAACAAAGAGAGTTGGACATGGTGTTAGCGACACCATCCAGTAGAAAACTAACTCGCTAAAAAAACGCTTACCAGAAAAACTAATCCAAACCATTTTAACTCTGCCCTGGGAGTTAGAAGGTCTTCAGTTAGAAGAATTATGACGCTTCATGGTGAAAGCCGAGTTCCTTCGGAAGCCACGAGGCCGATGCCCCTTCTAACAACCAGAGCAAAAATTTTTATAGGTACATGGAACGTTCGAACAATGTGGGAAACCGGGAAGACCAGTCAAACAACAACGGAAATGAGGAGATACAACTTGGCAGTACTGGGAATCAGCGAAACCCACTGGACACAAGCTGGACAGAAAAGGCTAGCTACGGGAGAGATGCTGCTATACTCCGGTCACGAGGAGGACAATGCTCCACACACTCAGGGAGTCGCTCTTATGCTGTCCAAAGTAGCACGAAATGCACTTGTAGGATGGGAATCTCACGGATCCAGAATCATCAAAGCATCATTCAAAACAAAGAAGGAGGGGATCACAATGAATATTATCCAATGTTATGCACCCACCAATGATAGCAACGACGACATTGAAGATCAATTCTACGAGCGGCTGCAGTCAATCATAGAGAAATGCCCAAGAAAGGACCTCACCATTCTAATGGGAAACCTAAATGCCAAAGTCGGAATAGACAACATCGGATATGAAGATATTATGGGACGACATGGACTGGGAGAGAGAAACGAAAATGGAGAAAGATTTGCAAACTTGTGTGCATTCAACAAATTGTTCATAGGAGGCACAATATTTCCAAACAAGCGTATACACAAGGCTACATGGATCTCACCGGACCACACTACAGAGAACCAGATAGATCATATTTGCATCAACAAAAAATTCCGAAGGACAATGGAAGATGTGAGAACCAGGAGAGGAGCTGACGTAGCTTCAGATCACCACCTAGTTGTAGCCAATTTAAAACTGAAGCTAAAAAAGAACTGGACAAGTGGACAAACAGCACTACAAAGGTTCAATACAGCCTTCCTTCGAGATACTGACAAACTCAATGAATTCAAGATAGCTCTCAACAACAGGTTCCAAGCCTTACAAGATCTACTGAAGGAAGAAGAAACTACTATGGAGGACAACTGGAAAGGCATCAAGGAAGCATTAACTTCAACGTGTCAAGAGGTTCTGGGCCTAAAGAAACACCATCATAAGGAATGGATCTCTATAGAAACACTGGACAAGATCAAAGAAAGGAAGAACAAGAAGGCAGCAATTAACAACAGCCGAACACGAGCAGAGAAAGTCCAAGCACAAGCTGAATACATAGAAGCAAACAAACAAGTGAAGAGGAGCATTAGAGCCGACAAGAAGAAATACGTGGAAGAACTAGCAACGACGGCAGAAAAGCTGCTAGAGAAGGAAATATGAAACAGCTTCACGATACAACGAAGAAACTAGCAGGGAAATACAGTAAACCAGAGAGACCGGTCAAAGACAAAGAAGGCAAGCCAATCACCGAAATTCAACAACAGCGGAACAGATGGGTAGATACTTCAGGACTCCTGAATAGGCCGGCTCCAATGAATCCACCGGACATCGAAGCAGCACACATAGATCTTCCTATAGATGTCAACCCACCAACGACGGAAGAAATTAGAATGGCCGTCAGACAAATCAAGAACGGGAAAGCAGCAGGACCCGACAACATACCAGCTGAAGCACTGAAATCAGACGTCGAAGTAACCACAAGCATGTTTTACCCTTCCTCTTTCTTCCGGTGGTCAACTGGATTATGAAGACCTCAACATCTGAAGGAAAACACGGAATACAATGGACAGCTCAGAATCAATTAGACGATTTGGACTTCGCAGATGACCTAGCCCTCCTATCGCGTACACACGAACAGTTGCAGACAAAGACAGCCAGAGTAGCAGCAGTCTCTGCATCAGTAGGCCTCAACATACACAAGGGAAATAGCAAGGTCCTCAAATACAACACGGAAAACAGCAATCCAATCACACTTGATGGCGAAACTCCGGAAGATGTAGAATCCTTCACATACCTGGGAGGCATCATCATCGATGAACAAGGAGGTTCAGATGCAGACGTAAAGGAGAGGGTTGGCGAAGCAAGAATAGCATTCATATAATTGAACAACATATGAAACTCAAAACAACTGTCTGTCAACTAATATCAAAGTCGCAATCTTCAATACGAACGTCAAGACAGTTAGTTCTACTGTATGGAGCTGAAACTTGGAGAACTACTACAACCACAATCAAGAAAGTACAAGTATTTATAAATAGCTGTCTACGCAAGATACTAAACATCCATTGGCCGGATACCATCAGCAACAGCCTTCTGCGGGAGAGAACAAACCAGCTTCCAACTGAAGAGGAAATTAGGAAAAGACAATGGAAATAGATAGGACATACATTACGCAAATCGTCAAACTGCATCACGAGGCAAGCCCTAACTTGGAATCCTGAATGGAAGCGGAAAGGTGGAAGACCAAAGAACATATTGCATCAGGAAATAGAAGCAGATATGAAAAGGATGAATAGGAACTGGAATGAATTTCTTAGGACATCTGGATAATATTTAAAAAAAACATTCAATAGTGAAATATTTCTGAAATCTGTGGAATTTCCAAGGTGAAAAATGTTAGAAATATATGAATGATAAATATCCTGTTCCTCTCTCTCCCTCTCCCTTTCACACTCTCTCTCTATCTCTCCCCCACCCTCTCTCCATACATATATGTACATAATAAGAAAATAAATCAATTTTTGATATTACAATGATACTAAACAATGTACACTATTCACATTTTCCTTGAAGTAATGGAATGTAGTTATCATCTATCATATGATAATAACAAAAATTGCTAAAATAATATCGGCTTTAAATCATTGATTATTTCACTTGGTATTGTTTAGCTTGTATCTTCCCATTGAGGTTTAAGACTTCAATTGATCAGTCTTTTATTAGTATATATGCATACTGTGCATACTGTTATTGATATAACAGACTGATCAATTGAATTGTACCAATTCAAGTTTGACATGTGAAATGCATAAGCTATCGAATCGCCTTTTCTCTTTATCTCCATTCTTATCAGAAATGTTATAAGAAATGATATTTTCAACAGTTGAGATCATGAGTGAACTGAAGTTAGACCACCATGGATAACCTGGAAGCACTGAAAGGCCGTTTCATAATACTGTGGGACTACTCAGCAACCACAATCCGGCCTCGCGATATCCGAACCCAAGAACTATTAATCTCGCTCCCGAGCGCTTAATCACTAGAGCACTGACTTATGAATTTAACATATAAAGTACCATAATATCCAGAAAAACCCTTCTCTGAGTATAATAATCATATGCTCACTATTGACGGTCGCCAAGAGGTATTTCCTGAAGTTCTAGTGAGAAGCAGTGAGATAGTAGTTTACTGATGACAATGATGAAT